AGCGCAGAGGGCCAGGTGGGGGGCAGATGGACAGGAGGAGCGCAGAGGGGCAGGTGGGGGCAGATGGACAGGAGGAGCGCAGAGGGACAGGTGGGGGGCAGATGGACAGGAGGAGCGCAGAGGGGCAGGTGGACAGGTGGGGGCAGATGGACAGGTGGGGGGCAGAGGGACAGGTGGGGGGCAGATGGACAGGAGGAGCGCAGAGGGACAGGTGGGGGGCAGATGGACAGGAGGAGCGCAGAGGAAAGGTGGGGGGCAGATGGACAGGTGGGGGGCAGATGGACAGGAGGAGCGCAGAGGGACAGGTGGGGGGCAGTGGGACAGGAGGAGCGCAGAGGGACAGGTGGGGGGCAGATGGACAGGAGGAGCGCAGAGGGACAGGTGGGGGGCAGATGGACAGGAGGAGCGCAGAGGGACAGGTGGGGGGCAGATGGACAGGAGGAGCGCAGAAGAACAGGTGGGGGGCAGATGGACAGGTGGGGGGCAGATGGACAGGAGGAGCGCAGAGGGACAGGTGGGGGGCAGTGGGACAGGAGGAGCGCAGAGGGACAGGTGGGGGGCAGATGGACAGGAGGAGTGCAGAGGAACAGGTGGGGGGCAGATGGACAGGTGGGGGGCAGATGGACAGGAGGAGCGCAGAGGGACAGGTGGGGGGCAGATGGACAGGAGGAGCGCAGAGGGACAGGTGGGGGCAGATGGACAGGAGGAGCGCAGAGGGGCAGGAGGGGGGCAGATGGACAGGAGGAGCGCAGAGGGGCAGGTGGACAGGTGGGGGGCAGATGGACAGGTGGGGGGCAGATGGACAGGAGGAGCGCAGAGGGACAGGTGGGGGGCAGATGGACAGGAGGAGCGCAGAGGGACAGGTGGGGGGCAGATGATGGACAGGAGGAGCGCAGAGGGACAGGTGGGGGGCAGATGGACAGGAGGAGCGCAGAGGGACAGGTGGGGGGCAGTGGGACAAGAGGAGCTCAGAGGGACAGGTGGGGGGCAGATGGACAGGAGGAGCGCAGAGGGACAGGTGGGGGGCAGTGGGACAGGAGGAGCGCAGAGGGACAGGTGGGGGGCAGATGGACAGGAGGAGCGCAGAGGAACAGGTGGGGGGCAGATGGACAGGTGGGGGGCAGATGGACAGGAGGAGCGCAGAGGGACAGGTGAGGGGGCAGATGGACAGGAGGAGCGCAGAGGGACAGGTGGGGGGCAGATGGACAGGAGGAGCGCAGAGGAACAGGTGGGGGGCATGGACAGGTGGGGGGCAGATGGACAGGAGGAGCGCAGAGGGACAGGTGGGGGGCAGTGGGACAGGAGGCGCTCAGAGGGACAGGTGGGGGGCAGATGGACAGGAGGCGCTCAGAGGGACAGGTGGGGGGCAGATGGACAGGTGGGGGGCAGATGGACAGGTGGGGGGCAGATGGACAGGAGGAGCGCAGAGGGACAGGTGGGGGAAGTGGAACAGGTGGGGGGCAGTGTATCGGAGGACAGTGTGACAGGAGTGGGGATGCACCAGTCCTCCAAGCACTTACCTGTCCAGCATGGGCTCCTCCAGATGGTGTCCCTTCTCCCCCAGGTTCTCCTGTATGAAAAAGCAGAACAAAACACAACTTACCTCCTCACACCCCCAACTATAATGATTCTCTGCCTGCTCAGCTCTCTCAGATCACCTCCCCTGCACTGTTGATGTCATCAACAGTGGACAGAAGCCTGGTCATGTGACCAAGCCTTAAATGGGTGTGTGACACTCCTTATATGGTCATGTGACACTCCTTATATGGTCATGTGACAAGCCTTCTCTGATTGGTGAAAGGATTAAACAAGTGCCCAAGCCTTGACACCCGTGCAGTGCATAATATTGTAATTATGTTATTATTGTGATGAGGTTATTAATGTCATTGTAAAGTAATGATTTCATGTAATTAATAAATGTGATGTAATTACAGCTGAACTGGTGGTGGAGCGGTCTGCTGGAAATGTATTTATTTTAGGTACTTATATATCGCCGTCAATGTACACAGCACTTTACATATATATTGTACATTCACATCAGTCCCTAACCCTCAAGGGGTGTACAATCTAAGGTCCCTGACCCTCAAGGGGCGTACAATCTAAGGTCCCTAACCTCAAGGGGCGTCCAATCTAAGGTCCCTACCCTCAAGGGGCGTACAATCTAAGGTCCCTAACCCTCAAGGGGCGTACAGTCTAAGGTCCCTAACCCTCAAGGGGCGTACAATCTAAGGTCCCTAACCCTATTCAAGGGGCGTACAATCTAAGGTCCCTAACCCTCAAGGGGCGTACAATCTAAGGTCCCTCACCCTCAAGGGGCGTACAGTCTAAGGTCCCTAACCCTCAAGGGGGGTACAATCTAAGGTCCCTAACCCTCAAGGGGCGTACAATCTAAGGTCCCTCACCCTCAAGGGGCGTACAATCTAAGGTCCACTTTAAAGACAAGAAATCAGGAAAAGTCATAAATAATCATCTAAATTCCCACTTTTCATGGTATATATAGAATGATTAGCCCACCCAAATCTTTTTTATCTTTTTTTTTTTTTTTTGTTTTTATTAAGATGAAATCTAAGAAAGATACAATTTTAAAGTGGAACTAGAGTGCATCTCGGCACCACAGAACGAAAATACGATTTCATTTTTTTTTTTATAAGTAACGGTTTTTATTTATTTTAAATTTTTATTAAATTTTTTTTTGTCTTTTTTTTGTTTTTATTAAGATGAAATCCAAGAAAGATACAATTTTAAAGTGAAAGTACAGTGCATCTCGGCACCACAAAATGAAAACACGATTTGATTTTTTTTTTTTTTAATAAGTAACGTTTTTTATTTATTTTAAATTTGTATTAATTTTTTTTTTGTCTTTTTTGTTTTTATTAAGATGAAATCTAAGAAAGATACAATTTTAAAGTGGAACTACAGTGCATCTCGGCACCACAAAATGAAAACACGATTTAATTTTTTTTTTAATAATGGTTTTTATTTATTTTAAATTTGTAATACTTTTTTTTGTCTTTTTTTTTTTGTTTTTATTAAGATGAAATCCAAGAAAGATACAATTTTAAAGTGAAAGTACAGTGCATCTCGGCACCACAAAATGAAAACACGATTTGATTTTTTTTTTTTAATAAGTAACGTTTTTTTTTATTTATTTTAAATTTTTATTACATTTTTTTTTGTCTATTTTTTTTTTGTTTTTATTAAGATGAAATCTAAGAAAGATACAATTTTAAAGTGGAACTACAGTGCATCTCGGCACCACAGAACGAAAATACGATTTAATTTTTTTTTTTTTATAAGTAACGGTTTTTATTTTAAATTTGTATTTCTTTTTTTTGTCTTTTTTTTGTTTTTATTAAGATGAAATCCAAGAAAGATACAATTTTAAAGTGGAACTACAGTGCATCTCGGCACCACAAAATGAAAACACGATTTAATTTATTATTTTTTTTTAAAGTAAGTTTTTATTTATTTTAAATTTGTATTACTTTTTTTTGTCTTTTTTTTTTGTTTTTATTAAGATGAAATCCAAGAAAGATACAATTTTAAAGTGAAAGTACAGTGCATCTCGGCACCACAAAATGAAAACACGATTTGATTTTTTTTTTTTTTTAATAAGTAACGTTTTTTATTTATTTTAAATTTGTATTAAATTTTTTTGTCTTTTTTTTGTTTTTATTAAGATGAAATCCAAGAAAGATACAATTTTAAAGTGGAACTACAGTGCATCTCGGCACCACAAAATGAAAACACGATTTAATTTTTTTTTTTAATAATGGTTTTTATTTATTTTAAATTTGTAATAAAGTTTTTTTGTCTTTTTTTGTTTTTATTAAGATGAAATGGGATCATTTGTCTAGACATGGAAACCAGGAAAGTAACTGCAGAAATGTAAAAAAAAAAAGTTTAAAATAAGTAATTAGGATCTACTTTACTATCTATTTACTAAAGATGGCAGCATAAGGATTTAAAATATTCCGTGATGATTGAGGGAGTGAGAACTATTTTTTTCTATACTTCTATGGATCATCGGAATGCAGATTGCTCCGCCCATCTGTGACCTATTTTCAGCAGACAATGGGCTAAGGTGTGCTGTTGGCTGGCATCACTGAACTGGTTCAGGCTCTGAAAAGACCCCAACCGTGTGGTCAGGGTCAGGGGTGGACTGACAACTCATAGGGCCCCTGTGTCCTTGCCCAAACTCAAAGCACACCCAGAAAAGCCTATAAAATAAAAATCAGGGGCATTTCATGGGGCCCCCTACTGACCCCGGGCCCTCGGGTAGTGCCCGAGTGCTCAAATGGTCAGTCCACCCCTGGTCACGGTCCAGCCATGTCTGGACCAGCAACTGGTTCAGCCTTTCAGTGAGATGGTGGGAAACTGAGCCAGCCACTCCCGCTCCAATGAGCGTGCGGGGGGGGGGGGTTCTCAGTCTTAGAAGTATTTACCTAGGTGAGTATGTAGATTTGTTTTTTTCATACCCATACTTCTCTTTTAAGATGTTCCTAAACCCCGGACCCCGCATTCACTATATCCGCTCTCCCCGGACCCCGCATTCACTATATCCGCTCTCCCCGGTCCCCGCATTCACTATATCCGCTCTCCCCGGTCCCTGCATTCACTATATCCGCTCTCCCCGGTCCCTGCATTCACTATATCTGCTCTCCCCGGACCCCGCATTCACTATATCTGCTCTCCCCGGACCCCGCATTCACTATATCCGCTCTCCCCGGACCCCGCATTCACTATATCCTCTCTCCCCGGACCCCGCATTCACTATATCCGCTCTCCCCGGACCCCGCATTCACTATATCCGCTCTCCCCGGACCCCGCATTCATTATATCCGCTCTCCCCGGACCCCGCATTCACTATATCCGCTCTCCCCGGACCCCGCATTCACTATATCCGGTCTCCCCGGACCCCGCATTCACTATATCCGCTCTCCCCGGACCCCGCATTCACTATATCCGCTCTCCCCGGACCCCGCATTCACTATATCCGCTCTCCCCGGACCCCGCATTCACTATATCCGCTCTCCCCGGACCCCGCATTCACTATATCCGCTCTCCCCGGACCCCGCATTCACTATATCCGCTCTCCCCGGACCCCGCATTCACTATATCCGCTCTCCCCGGACCCCGCATTCACTATATCCGCTCTCCCCGGACCCTGCATTCACTATATCCTCTCTCCCCGGACCCCGCATTCATTATATCCGCTCTCCCCGGACCCCGCATTCACTATATCCGGTCTCCCCGGACCCCGCATTCATTATATCTGCTCTCACCGGACCCTGCATTCACTATATCTGGTCTCCCCAGACCCTGCATTCACTTTATCTGGTCTCCCCGGACCCTGCATTCACTATATCTGGTCTCCCCAGACCCTGCATTCACTTTATCTGGTCTCCCTGGACCCTTCATTCACTTTATCTGGTCTCCCCAGACCCTGCATTCACTATATCCACTCTCCCCGGACCCCGCATTCACTATATCCGCTCTCCCCGGACCCTGCATTCACTATATCTGGTCTCCCCAGACCCTGCATTCACTATATCTGGTCTCCCCAGACCCTGCATTCACTTTATCTGGTCTCCCTGGACCCTTCATTCACTTTATCTGGTCTCCCCAGACCCTGCATTCACTATATCCACTCTCCCTGGACCCCGCATTCACTATATCCGCTCTCCCCAGACCCTGCATTCACTATATCCACTCTCCCCGGACCCTGCATTCACTATATTCGGTCTCCCCGGACCCTGCATTCACTATATCCGCTCTCCCCAGACCCTGCATTCACTATATCCGCTCTCCCCGGACCCCGCATTCACTATATCCGCTCTCCCCGGACCCTGCATTCACTATATCTGGTCTCCCACAGTACACACAACATGGAAATGCAATTATTTTAGTAAATATAAACTGATAAATCCCTTTACTCATCAGCAGTAGCAATCTTGTGACTTCTATCAGTGTTTTTTGGCTAAGATCAAGTGTAGTATCTGTTCTTATCATTGTCCAGTAGGGGGGCTCCGCCATCATTCTTGCCTTTTGTTGAGGATGACTGTCTGTAGTGTACCCCTGCTGTTATGATGGGGCCTCTGAAGGCTAGTACTGGCTGGAACAGAAACCAATGTGAGATGGGGAAACAGCTTTCATTGTTTGAACACTGATTGAAGTAAATTAAAAACGTTCTGACTGACATTCTGCAGTTTAGCCACAAGATGTCACTGTTTCTAACATAGCTTCAGACTGCATAGAGATTTCTATATTCAATAAGGGGTGGGGTTTTCAAAAAGAGAGTGAACAGGAAGAGAAAAGGGAAGCCATACTGGAGAGAGAGAAGAAGGCTGAGTGATCGGAGAATCCATTGCCATCGAGCTGGGGAGACTGCCCTCCGTAATCAGAAATCCCATTGAGTGAAGCTGATGGTGTTCAAGACACTAATCCTGTTCAAAGAGGGGAAGATTTGCTGCCAGGAAGCTGATGAGGACAGAGGAGCAAAGCAAAATACATTGCTGATAATATTGCATGCTCAGTGGAGAGACAGTGTTCTGTTCAGAGTCACCAGCGGATGAAAAGCAGACCCGGGTCGGTAAGATCGTGCACGCACCTCATTTCAGTGTTGGCGCCTTGAGACTGAGTCCAGGCCTATAGTTAGTTAGTTAGTTAGGGTCTCTGTTTGTGTCAGGCCACAAGTGTTGTTACTGATCATTGGAACTCCACAACTTAAAGTGACATTTCACATTGGAGAGCTGATAAAATCCTACAAACTCAAGCCAGACTGGCGTTTTGCTCAGAAGGAATACTCAGGCACGTGCTACAGGAGCAGTTATGGGAGGGGGGAATACTGTAGATTTGTGTACGATTGTAAGCTGTTGTGCTGCACCCAGGGTGGATTTGATTTAAATCAAACTGATTTAAATCACGATTTCAATCACTAGTCAGTAAGGCTTGATTTAAATTCTAGTTTTCTACATAAAGACTAATTCTTGCTGGTATAACTTTAATATGCAAGTAGTTGGAAGATTTTTAGAATAACAACTTTTCATATTAATTTTTTTATCCCCAGTTTAATAGGTTAATCATTCATATTTGGACAACTTTTCTGTTGTACTTAGGAAGGAGAAAAATAATCATTATCTTAATAATAACAATTTAAATAGATTTATTCAACTGAAACAATCACATTCCAGCATATGTTATCTGCTTAAACATCCATGTTTGGTAACTAATTCAGCTAAACAAAATATATATATTTTAACCTCCCTAGCGGTCTGATTATGTCAGTATTTCTGTGCTCAAAGCGGTACTTTTTTTGCATGGAAATATGTATTTTTTTATTGTAGGCCTGTAATTTTTAGGAATAACTCACTGAAATCTGTCCGAACAAGAGTCTAGTAAACATCCCCGGGGATGATAAAATTTGAAACACGAAATCATAAATTATAATTTAATAAATAATCATAAAAAATAATAATATAATAATATTACATTTAATTCAAATAATATAATCAAACCAAAATCACTGAAATATGAAATAGAGCGCCAAGTTCGCACATCGCTGAGCTCAGTCGCAGAATCGTTTTCAGTGTCTGATGAGGAATTTCCCCCCACGAATCATTATCACTCAATTCTGCAAGTGGTTCTGATTTACTATCGCTGTTCTCTAGCCGGTCTAAAAACCGCGTCTGACCTAAAGGGACGCTTTTTGGACGCCATGGACGTTTCTCAGTTTCCAGGCAGAAAGAACAGTAAAAATGCAGGCAGGGCGCCGGACAAAGCACTCGGGACAAAATGTATGTGAAATGGTTTGGTACAGGAATGTTTTACTATGTAAAATTTGTTTGGAAAAAAAAATGACATTTTTTAAAACTTTCAAATTTCCCCGCCGGCGCCCGTACGTCCCGACGTCACAGGGACCGGAACACAGAAGCCACATGCTGACATCGGCCGGTGGAGATGGCCGGGGACGCTGCAGGGGACACATCGCGGGAGCGAAGGACAAGGTAAGCTCTGCAGGGACTCCCTATGCAGCGCTGCATGGTAAGCCCGAGTGTAGCTCGGGGTTACCGCTTTTGGTACTGACATTTTACCCCGAGCTACACTCGGGAATACCGCCAGGGAGGTTAAACAAACATCCATGTTTGTTAAATAATTTGGCTAAACAAAATATATATATTTGAAGAAACTTAGACTGTCAGCCCCTTCCTCCTCACACTTAGTTTCACTTTCTTCTTGTGCAGATCTATTCCACTCCAAACAATCAGAAAAATATTGTTTCTATTCCATTCACTGAACTTCTTGCACCTTATCACTGAAGGGGCTGATTCTGTATTCATAGGTCTGTAGACGTTAGGATGAAGGTCTTTTTCTTAACTCTGTTCATGTTATAACATTTTTGCTGTGAAGAAGAGGCATGTGATCTCCGCTGAGTCAAATTCAGTTTTGAGAACTGCAAAAGTAAACCAATCATCTGTGATAATATCTTGTAGGCAGAGAAACTGCCCAATAATCTTACAAAAACCTCTGGAAGAGCCTGACATTGTGAATGGATTCATGGAATTTATTTACCAAAAAAATTAAACATATACAGCCTTATTCTACATAATTCAAAAACAAATCTTTATTTCATGATGGAATAACCTTTGGATGGTAATATATTTTCCTCAAAAAGCATTTTATTCAAAAAAATCAGATTTAAATAAAAAAAATCAGATTTTTTTTTTTTATTTTTTTAAAAATATCATTGATTTTTATCCACCCTGGCTGCACCGCAGGCTAGCCCATACCGTACACCCATACACTGATTCCTGCTCTGTAGGGTAATAACAGGTAAGGTGTGGCAGCTTAGTTGTGCCCCCCAGTAGGTAAATTACTACACCTTCTACCTTCATCCATCAGGAGGTGCCGTGCTGTGCAGCACAAGGGTCTCAGCCTTTGGGCTGGGTGGATGTAAAATATATTGGATATTCCAGCATTTGTGTTTATTTGACACATCTAAGTAAAATTCTGTTGTGACAAAATCTGGTGTTGGGGTTGCTTTCCTCGTTCGTGACATCACTGTATCCTGGGAAACCCCCCCCGGTACACGGCTTACACCAAGGCGCCCACAGGCTGATGGCACCCGGGAGTATTTCCCCTGGGAGAATTGGAGGGGCCCAGTTCCTCCTGATTTAAATAGGTCTACCTTGTCTGGCCTGGGGCCAGAGTGGCAGCGAGTCCGCGGAGCAGTAACACCTGGGAGTGGTTGCCCCAGGGGTGCTCTTAGTAACACATGGGGGTGGGATCCCACATGTGAAAAGTGCCCATGGTCACTGTTCTGAACTTTTTTTCTGCACTGCGCCTTTTGGCTAAGTCCAGGGCAATTTTTTTTTGCTATGGGCCTCAGGGCCTAGCCAGTGCGCAACTGTACAGCCACTTATTTATTTTTCTCCATGGTTTGTCACTTTTGTGTGTGTTTTTTTCCTCACTGGATGGAGGTTGTGGGTCCTCGGGCCTGCCCTGATGTCTAGGGGGAGGATCAGGGGCGGACTGACCATTTGTAAACTCAGGCACTGCCCGAGGGCCCGGGGTCAGTAGGGGGCCCCATGAGATGCCCCTGGTACCTTTTTCATAGGCTTTTTTGAGTTTTGGAAAGGACACAGGGGCCCCATGATCCCTTATTGCCCGGGGGCCCCATGAGTTGTCAGTCCGCCCCTGGGGAGGATGTGTGGCCCTCAGGTTTCTTCCTTTCCGGTTTCTTGGGGGGTCTCTCTTCGGGGAGAGCCCCTCAACCAAATACTTGGTGGCTGGCTTCGGCAGATCACAAGGAAAGGGGTCCACCAGGCCTTTTGGCTAGGTGGACCATGCTGGAAACCTCTGTCCCTGTCAGGAGCCTTGCTGCGTAAGGGATCAGGGTAGAGGTCCCACCCCATCTGGGGGTGGATTAAAAGCACGCCGCTAAGTGCACTTTTTTGTGTTGGTGTTTTTACACTTTTTTTGTACACTTATCGAGTTTGTTTTTGCGCACCTCTGCGGTGGAGTTTCCATTATTCTCTAAGAAGATGCAGAACCCCTGACCTCTGTCTGGACAATGCTGATTGGCCCTGTGCTGATCACAAATCCACTGTTTGTCACTTTTTGTGTGTTTTTTACCTCACTGGATGGAGGGTGTAGGTCCTCGGGCCTGCCCAGACGTCTAGCGGGAGGATGTGTGGTGTGGCCCTCCGGTTTCTTCCTCCCCGGTTTCTTGGGGGGTCTCTCTTCAAGAGAGCCCCTCAACCAAATACTTGGTGGTCGGCTTCTGCTGATCACAAGGAAAGGGGTCCACCAGGCCTTTTGGCTAGGTGGACCATGTTGGAAACCTCTGTCCCTGTCAGGAGCCTTGCCACCCAGGGAATCAGGGTAGAGGTCCTACCCCTTTGGGGGGTGGACTAGAAGCACGTCCCTAAGTGCACTTTTTTGTGTTGGTGTTTTTGCACTTGCACTTTATTGTACACTTATCGAGTTTGCTTTTGTGCACCTCCAGGGCGGAGTTTTAATTTTTTTCAAAGAAGATACAGAAACCCTGACCTCTGGTCAGTGCTGATTGGCCTGTGCTGGTCACATGCAGTCTCCCAAGAAAAAAAAAAACTAGCAAT